GAATTCAAGGAAATATTGTGGCTGATTATTGGATGACTACTACATTACAATGAACCAACGTGAACCAAAGAAGACCAGGCTCAAAGATTAAAATAAGAATATAAAAGCAACAACAACAACAACCACAAAAAACCAGCAAAGAACTCAGTGGCTACTACAGCAAATACATAATCTATAAAATTGGTCCAGGAGAGTCACTTAGCAAATAAGTGGCAAGAAGAGAAACAACAGAAACAGGGACAACAACAAACTCTGGAGTGGAGGAAGGTATCTGATATCAGAGTTGTTCCAATATCTAAAAGCAACAAAAAAATCAAAAAACCTTAAAAAGAACAGAAAAGCATGCCACACACAAAGGAAAAAGCTATTAATAGAAACTATCATTGAAGAATTCTAGATATTGGATGTGTCAGACAAATACTTTAAAAATATGTGTAAAGAACTTAAGGAAATCATGCCTTAAAAAAATCAATGGAAAGTATGACAACTAGATATCACCAAAATAGACAATATCAGTGAAAAGGTAGAAATTGTTGGAAAAGAACCCAGTAGAAATGCTAGAGTTGAAAAGTACAATTACTGCAATAAAAATAATCACTGGGTCGGCATAATAACAGATCTGAGTATAAAGAAGAAAGGATCAGCAAACTTGAAGATAAACCAATGGAGATTATCAAGTGAGTGGGATAAAATGAAAAATGAATGAAGAAAAATATAGAGAAATGAATATACATGTGATACATCATGAAGAATACCAACAAACACATAATGGGAATCTCAGAGGAGAAGAGAAGAGAAACAGGGACAAAATTACTTGAAAAAATAGTGACCAAAAATTTGACAACAATTCATTTATACATCTAAGAATGTCAACAAACTCCAATGAACTTAATGAGATTGACATCTATACACAACATAGTCAAACTAACAATGTTAAAGACAAAGAGAACATTTTGAAAACAGCAAGAGAAAAGCAATATTTACTTACAGGTGAATCTCAATATGATTAGCAGCAGATTTCTAATGAGAAATCATGGAAGCCATTAAGAATATTAGATCACACCTTCAGAGTGTTGAAAGAAATGACTGTCAACAAATAATTATAGTCCTAGCAAAATTATCCCCAAAAACAAAGAAGGAAAAATCAAAAGACAAGTCACATCCACACAAAAACTTGCACCTGTATGTTTGTAGCAAAGCTTTATTCATAAATGCCCAAACTTAGAAGCAACCAAGATGGCTTTCAGTGGGTGAATTGATAAATAAAATGTGATACATCTAGATAATGGAATATTATTCAGCAAATGAAATGAGCTATTAAGCCAGGAAGACAGGGAAAAACTTAAATGCACATTACTAATAAGCAAACCTGAAATAGCTACATACTATATGAGTCCAACCTTAAGACACTCTAGAAAAGAAAAACCGTGGAGACAGTAAAAGGATCAGTAGTTGCTAAGGGGAAGGATGGCAGGGAGGGATGAATAGGTGGAGCACAGGGGATTTGTAGGGCAGGAAAGATACTCTGTACAATACCATAGTAGTGGATACAGGTCATTATACATTTGTCCAAACCCATAGAACATACAACACCAAAAGTGAACCCTAAGGTAAGCTATGGACTCTTAGTAATAACAACATAATTAATCAATTGTAACCAATGTACCATTCTGCAGCAGGATATTGATAATGAGGGAGGCTGTGCATGCGTGGGGCAAGGGGTATACAGGAAATCTCTGAACTTTCCACTCAGTTTTGCTGTGAGCCTAGAAGTACACTCAAAAATAAATTCTATTAAAAAGAAAACGAAGCCGGGCACAGTGGCTCACACCTGTAATCCCAGCACTTTGGAAGGCCAAGGCAGGTGGATCATGAGGTCAGGAGATCAAGACCATCCCGGCTAACATGGTGAAACCCCATCTCTACTAAAAATACCAAAAAACAAACAAACAAAAAACCCGCCAGGCGTGGTGGCGGGCGCCTGTAGTCCCAGCTACTTGGGAGGCTGAGGCAGGAGAATGGTGTGAACCCGGGAGGCGGAGGTTGCAGTGAGCTGAGATTGTGCCATGCACTCCAGCCTGGGTGACAGAGCGAGACTTCATCTTGAAAAAAAGAAAGAAAAAAGAAAAAGAAAAGAAAGGAATTCTGGAGACAGATGCTGGTGGTGGTTGCACACCATTGTGAATGTAGTTTATGCCACCAAATTGTGTCCTCAAAAATGATTCAAATGATACACTTTACATTATGTATATATTACTACAATTAAAAAATTCCAGTCGCTGCAAAAGAAAAGATGAACCACAGAAAGGGAGAAAATATTTTAAAATATATATGTGATAAAGGACTTGTACCCAAAATATACAAATAACTCTTAAAACTCAACAATATAAAAACCACCCAATTAAGAAACAAGCGAAAGATCTGAACAAACATCTCACCAAAGAAAACATACATATGGCCAATAAAAGCATGAGAATATGCTCAGTATTATCAGTCTTTGGAGAAATACAAATCCAAACAATGATGGTATGCCACGTCACACCTGCTGCAGTTGTTATCAGTGAAAAGACAGAAACTAACAAGTGTTGCAGAGGATATGGAGAAATTGAAACCCTGGTACATTGCTATAGGATTTTAAGTTCCAGCCACGTTGGAAGACAATCTGGCAGTTCCTCAATATGTTAATGTAGTTACCCAGACTCAACAATTCCACTCCTGGGTGTATAACCAAGAGAACTGAAAACATGTATCAACACAAAATCCTGTGCACAAATGCCCATAACAACATTCATAATCATGAAAAAATGGACTCAGCCAAAAGGTCTACCAACTGATTAATGGATAAACAAAGTATGGTATATCTGTACGATGAAATATTATTTGGCAATAAATAAGAATGGAGGGCCAGGGGCAGTGGCTCATGCCTGTAATCCCAGCACTTTGGGAGGCCGAAGCAGGTAGATCACGAGGTCAGGAGATCGAGACCATCCTGGCTAACGCAGTGAAACCCCGTCTCCACTAAAAATACAAAAAATTAGCTGAGCTTGGTGGTGGGTGCCTGTAGTCCCAGCTACTCGGGTGGCTGAGGCAGGAGAATGGCATGAACCAGGGAGGCAGAGCTTGCAGTGAGCCGAGATCGCACCACTGCACTCCAGCCTGGGTGACAGAGCGAGACTCCGTCTCAAGAGAAAAAAAAAAAATGAATGAAGTACTGATATGTGCTACGATAGGAGTGAACCTTGAGCACATTATGCTAAGTGAAATAAGCTGTTTACAGAAGCTCACATATCGTATGATTCCATTTATATAAAATGTCCAGAATAGACCAAACTGTAGTGACAGACAGTATATAAGTGACTACCTAGGACTAGGTGAGATGGGTAGTGGGTGTGGGGAGGAAAAGGGGAGTGACCACTACTTGGTCAGGTGGTTCATTTTGGTGATGAAAATATTCTAAAATTAGATTAGGGTGATGCTTCCACCATTCAGAGAATATGTGATAACCCTCTGATTTGGGTACATTGAATGTGTGAATTTATGTATGTGCATTATATCTCAAAGGTGATTTAAAAACAGAGTTAAAAAGGAAGAATTATAGCATAGAGCACCTTTTGTAATTATGACAGCCTAATGGGGATAGAAAGCAATTGGGACATGGCCAATGGCCAAGTACAGTGTTTGATTCCTTCACAGAGATGCTTCAGACTGGCTCTGGGTCCCTTGAGCTTAGCATTTTCAAGTGCAAGGCGAGCATATGTCACTGCTGTGTTGACAATAATTTCACCGGGCAACCCACAATCAGAAAGCGGGACATGCCTGGGCTTTATTTTCGTCTTTCAATGATGGAGCCAAGCCAGCAACGTCAGGCAAAGAGGGAAAAAACTCAAGAAGGCAGATTGCCTTTAAGAATTTTGCAAACTGATTTAAATGTTTAATCAGCACATTTCAACCACTTTATTAATATGTTTGCATACATATGTGTGCACGAAGGCAGGGCTTTTACTATTCAGGAGAACTCATCAAGATGGTGCATACATTTCTTCCAGAGTCATGCTATCAGTGTCTGTATGAATCAGCGAAGGCGGAGAAAGCTAATGCTGTCGCGTGTTGCCGATGATACAAGGCCTAGACCTGTTCTTGAGAGTAGGGCACGCCCTGTGGGGCGGACACAGCGGCAGAGCCTGCAGATCAGGCAGGAAAAAGAGGGCAGGTGCACCAGGCCATAGAGGGGATGGTGTTGTCCCACGCATGGTTCAGAAGTGGGGAATTCAGGAGTACAGACGCAGGCAGAAAAGCAGGCATCTGGCAAATATCCAGCTCTGGCTCAGGGAGCCAGGGAGCCAGGGAGCCCTGGTGACAGCGCCCACAGGGTGGGACAGAGCCCCTGCCTGATGCCATGGTCTAGGCAGTCACCAGCCTGGGCCCCAGGCAGCAGAAACGCCAGGGTCACCCTTCCTGGAGTAAGTAACCATGTGAGAAAGGGTCCCTGAAGCAGGTCGGTATTCACCTATCAAAGCTGGAGACTGATAGGAGAAAGGGTCTGTCGAATCCTGGAGTGATTACCTTACTGAGTTTCTCTTTCCTGAGATCTGGATGGAATACATTCTGGGGAAGGGTGGAAGGTGTACGGGCACGGGCCATGTAGTTAGATCTGCATGGTGAGGACTCAGAGTCTGGGAGCCATTGACAAGCACCTCCACTCCTTGAAGGCCGACAGCAGCTGCGGCTCTCCAAGGTTAAAGAAATGAAGACACCACCCCCTGTGTGTTGTCAGTGGCCAGGCCTATGTGGTGGAGCGCCTGGCCGTTCGTGAAAATCTGCAGTGGGATTAGGTGGCATTTGGCCGTTCATTTTTCGAGTTTCTGTGTCTTGGAGGAAAACTGAGAGAGCACATATGGCCTAAAAGTTTAACTCCTATTCATTGATCAGAATTATAGTTTTCACTTTAATGATTTATAAATGTGTACCTTCAAGCACTAATGTTTGCTCTGTATTTTTAGATGGCTATCCCAAAGAAGAAATGATTTACAGATGGAGAAAAAATTCAGTAGAGGCGGCTGACCAGAAATCATGGCGGCTTTATCAGTTTGACTTCATGGGCCTCAGAAACACCACAGAAATCGTGACAACGTCTGCAGGTAGGAATTTACTGAAAGAGGCATAGCTCTCAAAATTCAGCGAGGCCTAAGGCCATATGTAGTCATATCCTTAATGTCCCAGCCTTTCGGGTAACCATGATACATTAGTGATACTGGAGACAAAACGAGTGATTCAAAGTGAAACTGTGTTGTAATGTTTTCATTGGTATGGGAGAGGGATGATTAGAATTAATTCATATTTTTGAATCCAGGTAAACCTAGCTATAAACTTAACCTAACTCACTACTGACCATATTTACACAAACCAATTTTACTGATGGGGAGAATTCTGCAAATTTCCATGTACAAGAAGAATCAGATATTATTGAGAATGCACACATAAAAGAAGCTGGTTTGACATGTCCTTTGAGTTTCCATTCTTTTTATTTACTCTAAGTTTTATCTTTAACTTTGAGTTTCTTTTTCAATGATGGAGTGCAATAATTACCTACCAATTTGATTTTATGAAGTGATTATTACATGCATATTCAAAATCCTGTAATTAAATAGAAAGACTTCTTCTGCCTATGAATATATGTGAATGTGTTTTGTTTCGCTTTTTGTCTTATGTCTTATGTTGTTGTTTTCTGGTTTGGGTATTTCATTATTCCTAGGGTCTACTTTTTCACAACTGATTTTCCTTTGGCAGGGTGTGGGGTGCAGATGGGGGTAGAGTCAGCTTTTCTACTGATATTATTTGTTAGTATGAAGAATTTGTTGGCTCTTAAAATTATCTAATAATTTATTTTATTGGTGAGTAGATTAAGATGCCAGTTTTGAGAATTAATGGTAAATATCTTTAAAGCCCAGTCTTAATTCTTGATACCACTGTAAAATAGAGAGTTATTGACACATCAAGAAAAGTCCTGAAAAAGTTACCTGATTAAGGGAGAAAAACAAAAGATTCTCTATGGGTGTCATGGTGGAAAATGTGAGAAATGGGATCTGTGTTTAAATGTTAAACAATGACAATGTTAAATAATGGAACACCACAATTTATGTAAATGAACTGCGGAGGCAGTGCAAAGGGAAATGTTTTGGGATGCTTGCTGCCAATTAAGAGGCACCTACCTTGGTCATGTAATTCCCTGTCTTAAAGGCTGCAATGCACCAGCAGACCCTTGGGGTCTAAGGCTGCCTGAAGGGAGTTACCAAGCAGCAGGGAGGACTGCTCTAGCATTTACATCCCAAAGGTCACTGCTTCTCCTTTCCTGGTATTCTCAAAACAAAAGGAAATGCAAAGTTAAGCTGAACCCATCTAACTCAGGGGATTTTGAAATTGATTGCAAGCAAATACTAGCTCAGAGAAGTGACAGTTAGAAGGAGACAACAGATTTGAGGCAACAGTCTGAGCAATTCTTGTGCTAGGTGTTACTGTGGCTCTTAAAGAAATTATAATCGATCTCTAAAGTCATATTTTTAGTAAGTTTTACAACCATATTCGATCTTCTGTATAATTACACTTGTAAGGAAAATGTCCTTTGGATAATAAAAAAAATTCCCATTTCATATGCTCGTGATGGTAGCTGGAGCCCACAAGCATGAGAAGTCATGCTCTGCCTGCAACTGGGGTGTGTTGTTGCGTGTTTTCAGGCCATATCCAGCGTCAATTCAGGTGTCAACAGTTCACTGTTTAATGAATATTCATGAAACACCATTGCTTGCTAAATGTGATTGACATTTTCACAATGTGGAGGATCACCCATGGGGCTGTGATGGCATTTGAAAGGATCCCTGTCAGATAAATGCCTTTTTATAGGCAAATGGTATTCCTTGTTTCTCAATCTCCTAACTCAAAATTATGACTACAGCAATAACACATTTACTTACATAATCCCTTTTTTCCAAGAAAACGAAAGCATTCGCAACACTGTCTACTTGGTTCTCACAAGTCGTTGTAAAGTTTGAAAAGGATGGACATGATTGTGCCAAGTTTTCAAGCTTATGTAAATAATTCTACTAGGGAACTTATCTGTGAAATGGAAACACTTTGGGAAACCTCAGAATCAGGAGAACGAGATGTGAAGCCTGCAGGTGCATTGCCAAGTCCAGGCCCTGGGAGGTGGTCTGTGTCTTTATTGCCTCCCACCATCCTCTCACTGTGGCTACTGTGGGCCACCAGGCTTTGGGCACAGCCCTAAACAGCTGCGTTTATTTGACTGGACCCACTTTTCTCTGTTGGGATAACATGAATATAAAAAAATATTATTTATGACATTCTGAGACTTGAATGTAATATATTAAATATGTTTATTTAAAATGCACAAAGACTGTTCAAAAACATTAGTCACTGAATTAGTTTCCTGGAGCTGCTTTCACGGTTCTACCAACTGTGGCTCAAACAACAGAAACATGTCTCTCAGCTCTGGAGGCTGGAAGTCTAAAATCAAGATGGCAGGCCTGGCATCTTCCGAGTGCCATGAGGGAAGGATCAGCTCCAGGCCTCTCCCGTTGGCTTGCAGGTAGTATTCTCTCCATGTCCTTCTAATGTGCAGCGAATGCAAGAAGTGAATTCTGTTCTATTGTCTTCTCCCTGGAGGTATCGATCTCTGTCTGCATTTCCTCTTTCTATAGAAACACCAGTCATATTGGATTAGCCCTGCCTTCATGACCTCAACCATTTTCAAAGGCTCTATTTCCAAATAAGGTCATGTTCACAGTACTGTGGGTTAGGACTCTAACATCTTTGGGTGAATACATTTAACCCATGGCAGTAACCCAGAAAGTTTAGCACACTATGAAGAGTAGCATTTCAATTGCATTGGGAAATGAGATATTCTCTTTATCCCAGACACATCCGTTTTACTTGCACTTCCTAGTAAGTCCAAGTGTCTTGGACTTCTGACTGGCACAACTGTGTGCTTTGTTAGGTTACTGATGGTCTTGAACAGTCTCTGTGCAGTCTTTGTGCCTTCCTCAACTATTCTCCAAGGACAATTGCAGCTGACCTTTCCTTTGCACTAGCCAAAGGCCACCGTGCATAATAAAAATCAGAGACTTGTTTTTTCTTTTTTTTTGTTGAGACGGAGTTTCACTCTTGCTACCCACGCTGGAGTGCAATGGCATGATCTCGGCTCGCTGCGACCACCACCTCCTAGGTTCAAGCAATTCTCCTGCCTCAGCCTCTCAAGTAGCTGGGATTACAGGCTCCTGCCACCACGCCCAGCTAATTTTTTGTATTTTTAGTAGAGACAAGGTTTCGCCATGTTGGCCAGGCTGGTCTCGAACTCCTGACCTCAGGTGGTCCACCCTTCTGGGCCTCCCAAAGTGCTAAGATTACAGGTGTGAGTCACTGTGCCCAACAAATCAGAAACTTTTTGTTATCTCTTCTATATATCTATATCTATCTACCAATTGCAATAAGAAGTAAACCTCTTACTTTTTTTATTCTAATAATTTAAAATATCTGTCGGCATACCACCGCTGAGAATAGACTGCAGCGATTTCCAGGAAGTGTACCTTGGAATTACCGGAAACAGGCTGATGGTAACCGTGGAATTACCGGAAACAGGCTGATGGTAACTGTGGAATTACCGGAAACAGGCTGATGGTAACCGTGGACTTACTGGAAACAGGCTGATGGTAACCGTGGACTTATCGGAAACAGGCTGATGGTAAAACATTCAGCCTTGGTTTTCAATAAATGTTGTTAATTAAAAAGAAGCTCAATATATATGGATATGCATACATGTATGAGTTGATATACACACATATATTTCCTGCTGTGTCAGCTGAGAAGTCCTAGGAGCAACAACACTGCAGGAGCAATAAGTACCCTTAGTGCCCAGATCTTGGCTTCTCATATCATTCTCCAATTAAAGGAACCAGGGCTCCTTGGAAAAGTGGCAGATTGTGAGGCTGCAGCAGGGAATGTACAAGATGAGCCTAGAGAATCTTGCAGTTCCAGAAACTAAGACATGCTAACCACTCACCTCACACCCACCCACCTACACACAAAATCATGGGGCTATATCAACAGATGCCAACTAAAAGATATTACAATGGTCAAAGCCAAAAATGTGAGCAGCAAGATAAATACAGTATTGGATTATAACCCAAGAAAAAAAATCAATATCCATGAGGCCACACTGATGCAAATAAGTGATTGAATAAATACATACATACCTACATGGGAGAACCCAGACAAATCCCCCATGCAGAATTTCACATGATTTATGTAGATGTTATTCTCTCAGGGAGGCAGGGCATAGCTCCCACTCTTCAATTGTGGGCTACACCTGGTGACTCTCTTCCAAAGAGCACAGGAGGAGACAAAGGAAGAAGACGCACAGGGGATACGTCTGGTGAACACCCCTCGGCCAGGTGATCAGTGAACCTGGTCAGTGATTACACATGGTGATCCTGTGTACCCTGCATATGATGTGATGAAAATCTACGAGTCTGGAAAGAAGGTGGCTACGGAAAGTTATCCTCTTGGGTTGGTGCATCAGTGAGTCAATCATTAAAATACCTATGAGCCATTATCTCAGAGAGAAAGGAAGGAAAGATAAGTGGACTCTATACTCCAGACATTTTCTGAATTTCAAAGCTGTGAAAAGAAGAAAGTGAAGAAAACAAGGAGAAGGGGTCTGAAAAGCAGACTCTGTCAGGGAGGGCAAGATAAGGAAAGTGCACCACTGAGGATGCACCGGGAAGGGGGGTCGCGGTGAACATGCCGCTGGAGCTAGAGGCCCTGGAGTTACCTGTACAGCGAGTGCAAAAGAGACTCAAAAGCCTGTCAAACTACAGCTCAGCCTTCAGCCACCCCAGCCCCTGGTGGTATTAAGGTGATTAGTCCCAATCTTTGGCCTGGAAAAGAGAATGAAGAGCGCCCCCTTGAAGGATAATAAATTTTTTTTTTTTTTTACAGATTTTCATACAAAAAGTGCACTGCGGCCAAATGATCAAAACCCAAAAATAACACAGGTATCTGACTTTTTACCAGAAATCATGGCAACCAGAAGACAGTGGAATTCCAAATGTGAAAAGAAACAGAGAAT